AAGGCAGCACCGTGCCCCAGTTTCTCCACAGAGCTGGAAAAAATATGCACAGAGGATGCCCAAGCACAGCAAAGCCACCAGAGCTGGTGGCTGGTCCTGCTGCAATGTGCCACCAGCCCATGACCATTGAGGCAAGTTCTGGAGAGCCCAGCACACTTTTCCAGCGGCACTGTGCCGCGGCAACAAGGCTGCTGGGATCCCCATGTGGCTTGAAGGCACCAGTATCCCTGCCATAGCTCAGGGCAGCTGTGCCTTCCTTTCAGCACATCCCTCTGCTGCCCAGGAATGATTTCTGGAGGTTCATTTCCTGCCTGTCTTCATTCTTATGGAGTCTGTGGCCACCCAGTTGGCACTGCTCTGTGCTGGGGAATGTGGAATCATGTGAACATGCTACAGCTCCAGGATTTACTGGCTCAGGTTTGCATCTGCCAATGTTTATGCTTTTGGAAGAATGCCTTAGAGCACTCACCTGGTTTTGAGCTACAGAAATATTTCTGATACATGCTATGAACAAGGAGAGGTGCTAAAAACCTCCTCTAATAACCCACATCTCTCAAAGAAACAGTGCACTGTGATCCAAGCAAAGAAACCAGCACTCAAAACTGTGGAAAAACCATGCTATGGAAAGTCAGTGTCCATAAAGGAGACAGAGGAGTCCTGCAACTTCATCCCAAGGAAGGGATAGAGTGTCCACTGGGGCATATTCCTGTGGGGTTTCTCTCACAAGATTTTGGAGGATACAGCCTCCTTTTACCCTAAACTCCCGGCCACGTGTTGCTCTCCTCCTTTCCCCACTGACTGAGGCACTAGGAAGCTATGACCTTCCCAAACCACCTCCATATATCCCCCCTTGAACCTGTCATTTTCCCTCAAAGATCAGAAACTCAGGCTTGTGCAGACCCATTTGTCTATTTCAGGAGTCTGTAACAAAGGCTTCAAGTTGGTAGAGACATTAAAACCCAATTCAAAGACATTAACACCCATGCCCTCGCCCATCAAACATTAGCACACATGTTTTCTGATCAAAATTGAATTAGGCAATGTTTGTGTGGCTTGGCATTTCCTGGCACAAGTGAAATGCAAGCATGGTCTGACATTCAGTTGATTCTGAGCCAGGACCAGAGGGTTACCATATAAACTCCCTGAAGCTTTGTCATTTGGTCTAGAAAGGCTTGGCTTTGAGCTTTTGGATAAATTCACCTCAAGACAACAAATGCACACACAGACCTGCAGCTCTACATCCTTCTGAATTATCTGCCACAGTCCCAAAATTACTCAAGTTACTGCATCAAGATTTACCCTGTTCTCCTAAGGCTGATCAGACCCTGACTTCAGAATAAGCAATTTTGCCCATTCTTAGAACAGTTTCAGCTGCAAGCTTTGGGTTTCAACACTGGGCACAGAAGAGCTTTGGACTGCAATCTCCCAGTCAGATAAGAGTATTTCTGGGCACAAACCCATATGGAGAACCACCCTAACCATAGCACACTCACAGCTAAACTCCAGGACCTCCAGACTAAGAGGAAACTTAGATTTGCTAGGAGAGAGGTCAGCAGTGCCCTCTGCGTCTGTGCTGGCTCCCTGCTTTTCATAGCTGCATTTCACTTTGCTGGGTCCATCTGTGCTCTTTTCTTGTGGCTTGCAGCCACATGCCCGAGGGGATGAGTGTGGCCAGAATGAAAGACTGTCACACAGGACAGCCCAGAAGCACGAAGCACACACTGCCTCCCCAGGATTAACCACCTGCACTTCAGGCTAATGGCAGGCGGCCCGAGCTCCAAGGGAACATCAGCTACTCCTCCTCAGGGACATCAGCTTCCCCCCCAGGGGCTCTCAGCTGAAACAGGCTGTGGGTGGGTGCTGGGGAAGGGAGCTGCTGGCCACAGAGACCACCAGCATCCCAGGCTGAGCGCAGGCAGACAGGTTCCCCTCCACTGTCCTTTGGCACACGCCTGGGATGCGGGACCATGCATGTCAGCAAGTGTAACAGGGCACAGAGACATGCCACAGCCCAAAGGTGTCCTGCTGGGAGCTTGGGAACCCTGTCAGAGGGAGACTTTCATTTCTGAAGCATTCTCTACCCACTCTTGCTTCCTGCATGCCCTTCTCCTCCTTTGCTTCCTCCATTTGTAGCAACACTGCATTCTGCATGCTCCCCAGAGAAATAGGGCAAACATAACCTGATTAACCAGGAGGATTTGGGCAGGAAGGGGCGGGGGAGGAGATTAATACGGCAGAGCACGGCAGAACCTTTCCCTCTCACATTAGCCCTTGCCTACTCAATAATTAACGTGTTCTGCAGTGACTCTGACTTTGGGATTTGCTATAAAAGCTTCTCATAAACTCTGTCTCAGCATGCAGACATCAGACCAAATAGAACACTCGGTCTGACAAGCTGAAATTTCTTCCAGGCTCCAGGGTCAGTCAGAAGCTTAAAACCACTTGGATGCGAGCCTATGGCTCCATTTTAAAACAAAAGGATTCCTCTTGTTGTTGTTCACCCATGAAAGAGACTGAATCCAACTTTAATTTGGCCACTCTCTCTCTGAAACATGGTTTAGAAGTTAATGCAGGCTTTCTCCAATTCATGTACAAAACAAACTCCAAGGCTGGCAGTGCCCCATGAGCATAGGAACATGTAACACGGGCTCTGGCTGCCATCCATGCCTATTCTGATGTTCTATTTTCTTTCCATCCCTTCTTTCTTGCTTACCTTAAGGCATAAAGATGTTTCAGGTTGGAAAAGTAAAGCTACCCACATGCAGAAAAGATGCCTTCCCTGACCTTCCAAGGAGCTATTTTTGGCTACTCTTATATGCCTGAGAACTCTTACAAGGCTTATGCACCAAACTAACTGCCCCTCAGTAACTTTTGCCGAGGAGATATGAAACACTGCAGAGATTTGTTTTATAAATTTTAATTCTCTCCATAATCTAATACACTACTGACTCCCAGTCTCCAGATATTTGTAATGGAGTGCATTTTAAAAGGGGCTGCAAGCCTAAGATTATTACCCAAAGAATACATGCTCAATATTACACCTAAACATACAAACAGAACACTAAAGACATAGCCTTAATCCAGAATTTCCCAAAATTTATTGAGTACCACAGCCTTGACTTCACTTTTCAAGTCCAAACCTGGAGAAGAACCTCCAAAAGTTTCAGATTGAAATTGATTTATTTTCAAAGTCTGCGCCCCCAAAGAGTTTATGAGATTCAAAAATGAGGAACGCTGGGTTAGCAGCCAAACACACGCACAGAAGGATATTTCATAAAGAAAGCAACAGTCCTGGCTCCATCTGTCAGAGCACATGGATACACCACATCACTTCCCAGCAGTCAGAAACCTGGGCTCTGGTCTGTCCTGTGTCTCTCAGATTCTAATGCTGACATTTTTCCAAACTGGCACTGCCCAGACTGCAAACATTTTGGTCCAGAGGCCGAGAGCGAAGCAATGGGTGAGCCCCACTGCCCCAGCACTGCCCAAAGGCTCCTCATGAGGCAGGGAGTTAATGCTGCCCCAGGGGACTGCACAGCCCTGCTGCCACTCCAGACACTGAGCAAAAGATAAAGCATGCAGGTATCTTTTCCCTTCTGACATCACAGTATTAAATATCACACAAACACACAGCCTATAGGATGTATAAAGCAGAAATGTTGTACAACTAGCAAAAAAGATGTGGAGACTATATGGAGAGTGAACTGTTCAGGAGACCCAGCCTCCAGAAATCCAGCTCTGTGCACACAAACACACAGAGAACACATGATACTGTCTCCCAGCATCTCACATTTTCATCACATGGCATCTTTTAAAGGGCTCCCAAACTGAGATAGTGCCTCTTTTAAGCCAGAACTGCATAAGGTTCAGGGATACAACTGATTTTGCATAGAGCCATGAGAAAAACAACACAGGATTGAGGTGGTTTATGAGAAATGCTTGTACCTTGCTCTTAGCACCCAGGACACAGGCATGCTGCTCCTCTTACTATAGGGCCCAGCTTAGAGAACCACGAGGCTCTGTAAGAACCAGGACCTCCCCACAGGAGCTAAAAGTCATACTTCCTCTCTTCCTCCCTTTGGTAATAATCTCCTCCTTAAACAAGACTCACCACAGTTTGCAAAACAAGGAGGTCATGCCCTGCAAAAGTTTGCTAAACATTTATGTAATTTATCCAAATACAGGCACAGTGGGAACACAAGTCAGAAATGCCACACTTAGCATAGCATTGTGCAAACGATTCATTGGCAGTCCATAGGCAAGAAGCAGCCTTTCATTTTCTATTTAAAACTTGAGTATAAATAAAACCCCTGAGTTAATCAAGGGAGATAAGGGTTGGTATTTGTGCAATATTCTTGTAAAACACAGCATGCCAAATCAAGAACCATATTTGGCAATTATTCTGCTTTACCACTTTCACCCCCCTGGTTCATTCTGCCTCTTAGCTGATCAGCTCTTTCTGCTGTGTGCCTTTACAATGCCTGTGCTGCAAAGCTGTGCTCCCAACAGAGATGTTCAGCTTGGTGCTTGCCTGAAGTGTATTAACGATCTCACTACAGCTGCATAATGAAGCTGGGTCAAAAACTATTGCCTGATAGTAATTGAGGCTGCACCTTTCTCTATTCATCTTCATTTTTCCTTGGAATCACTGCCATAGTTCAAACCTTTGGTACAGAATCATGGTGCAACACACCATGCTTCAATTAAGAAATACAGGCACTTAAAATTAAAAAGGTGTGGAAGGAAATTTGGACTACAAAGCAACTCTTTCCTGGAACAAAAAAGAAATCACTCTTCCCTTCCTGACAAGCCACACTTTGAACATAGATATGACCAGAGGGTTCTGCTGGCATCACACAGGATATAAATGACATTTAAAACTCTGCCTGGTAACCTGGTAACAGAACCCATGTATCACAGGCATGTCTTTGGCCAAGGGCTCTGTACCCACCTACAGAGCTGCCAACAACCACCACAAAACCAAATATTTAAACAAATACCTTGTGCAGAAACAGTGAAGTTATTTTTCCCCTCTGAGAAGAACAGAAGAGTTGAGGTCTGCAACAGAAGCCAACATCACCCATCAGGACTGCTACCCTAGGGCTCAGCCAGCCCAGCTGCAGCTCTTTAAGGAGTCTCAGAGGGGGCCCAAATGTAGGAACCAAAATGAAAGCACCTGGTTGCTTATCTCCATTCTACTGCTGTCTCTGTTGAACTGCAAGTTAAACTTCATCTTCCTCCTCCAAGGAAGAGATTATCATTTATTATATAGGTTCCTCCACCAAGTCTGTGTGTCTGTAATGTTGAGAAGTGCTCTCAGCTTTCTGCAGTGGTTGGTATAGCCCAGCAAATTCTTCCCCATAGGATGCCAACTTTCCAGCAATGTAACTTGGAATTCTGATTCACAGAAATGAAAGTTTGGACACAGTGATTTTTAGTGGGGAGAGAATGCATAATCTGCTATCACGCAGAGCATCAACTAGATATAAAAGGTCTGAAATGCTGGAAAAGTGTCTCTGTCCAAAAGGAAAGCAGTATTGTGCAGTTAAGTGCATGCCATTTATCAGAGCTTCCCATTTCGTGCAGTTCCTAAGTAAATGAGTAAGATTCCAGAGTTGCATCAAGGGAATGGGTTTGGCTTGGAATCCTGCACAGTGACTCATACTTTCATGAATAAATTCATTTCCTTAGAGAAACAAGACAAAATCATGTGTTCCACTTAGTTCAGCTACCTAGAATATTGATTTAGGAAGCTATTGCAAAAAACACAGTTTCATCTAGCTTTATATTGCATTCATAATCTGCTGCAGTTGTACTTACAAACATAACCAACCTCTTAAGGGGAAAAGAAGAACTGGAGCAACTTGGAGGTTCTGGGTATTGAAAGATGTCAGCTAGAAAGTAGTTTGCAATCAAACCAGACAACTGAAAAAAAAAAAAAAAAAACAAAACCCAAACATTGTGGAAGTCTGGGTTTTCCAGAAATTGTCTCTTACTTACACAGCTCTCCATATTTATTCCCCTCCTGCACATTTAAAAATAGGTTGCAGAGACACAGACCCGTAAACACCAGGAAATGAGACTTGCATCAGCTGGCCCCTCCCCTTCCCCACAATGACAGTGCAAAGAAAAGGGCGTGAAGTGGATCTCTGTAACACCAGCATCCTTAGATGTGCATGGAAGCAGCCAAGGAGAGGGACCCAGAGGTGTATGGATCATGCCTAATCAGTTCTGTGCAGAGATACTTGTCAGTGCAAGCCAGGATGAAACTCACCTTTCAGCTTTTAGTTTTCTTAGGAGATCAGTTCAAACAGTTTGATGTGGCTATACCGACCAAATTGGAACAACACAAATATAAGGATTTTTGTGAAGTATGAACCAACTCCCTGTATCTTGCCCTGGTAAGTATTTCAAAATAATGCAAGAAATCTGGCTCTACAAACTTTTGGTGTCAAGTTCCACTTTGGAGTCCGGGCCTGTCTGGTTCAGGAAAATATCATCCATCAATTTCATGCCACTTTATAAAGCTGAAGTGTTTCACAGTTAACAAATCTCTGCAGTACCATCATCAGGTTGGTAGGCAAAAACACCTTCACATTTCACAAAGGAGAAATGAAGCCATTAAAGCTGGGGGAAATTGTTCAGGTCTCAGAATAAATCAAAGGGAAAAACAGGACTGGAACATGATGTAGCTATGTGTAGTTCCCTCACTGTGTGAAAGCAGAGCCCTTGATGATGTCAGAGCAAAGGCAGGACTGAGCATAAATGGAATAGACCCTGGGATTTTTAAGGGCAAATTAAACCTCATGTCTCATGTAGAAATGGCACTGACCTTTCCAGGGCTGGTCATGACTATCAGTAACTTTAGGTTACTGATAACCTCCCAGCTGAGCTGTAGGTCACTCAGCAAACCTGCAGGTCATGGTTTGGTGTCCCTGTTCACCCCTGCAGCACCATCAGATTTGGCTCAGTCTGTCACAAGCCAGGACCTGAGCAAATGGACAGAGCAGAAATTAAATGTCACCATGTAAAACCTCTTGTATACTAGCAAAATGGAGAGAAACTTACTAACATTTTTTGTTTTACTGAAAATAGCAAAATGTACACATTGAACTCACCTTTATAACTGTCTCTGGACTTTATTTTTGTGACAATAGTCTAATGATATCTCGTAGTTTGAAGGCAAACACATTGTATAATAAGAATGTGGCATTTGTTTCCATCTGTTATCACTCAGATCCTGATCAAATGCCACCTGAGGCCAGTGGAAAGGCTCTGCTTCTAACTCCTAGAATAAAAATATAAATGTTTCTACATTCAGCAACTTCTACTGCTTTATTATTCATGTTTAATCTGTGAAAACGAATATGAAAAGGAGGGTAAGCAGGCTGAGGAAGGGTCAAGCTCCCCTGGAGAGACACGGTCACATTTCTGACATTCCCATCACTCTATCAACAGGACCTCCTGCTACCACGATAGAAGGCAGCAGCGGAGAAAGAGCAGGAAGAATAAAACTTCCTGTGTACACATGTGAGAAAAGTCAACCCATCCTTACAATCAATGACTTACAGGAAATCAAAACAGACCTGGCCTCCATCTTCCAAGTGCAAGAAAAATGCCTGTAATTTGCTCACCCCGTTCTGTTTGTGCAGCTCTGAGCCTTCTCCCATTCAAGCTCTCTGAGGCAGAAAATCAATGTCAATCATGCCAGATGACTGCTTTCCTCCTGTGAGCATCTACTGCTGATAATAAGAGCACAAAGGCCACATAAAAGGAAAAATTTGGCCCTCACAGCTGCCTTCACAGTTCTGTAACTGAGATAAATTAACAGGTGAATTAGCACTGGCATATTAAAAGCTGACTCTATTTTTTAATTAAAAAAGGGCTCTAATCTGCTTATCATCATCACTGAGGACACACTGGGACCAGGATGGTCTTGAAACATCCCACTTCGTCTTCTTTGGCCCGGTCTACTAAAAGTAGGACCCCTGCTATCTGACTAGGCACCAGAGAGATAAGGACAGCCTGATGCCTTATAGATAACAGCAATTCATTCTTGGTTCTGTTCTCAGTAACAAGGAACACAAACACAAATGAAGGCATGTCCAAGTTAATTTTGTCTGAGCCACAGGCTAAGAAGAATCTTACAATACCAATAATCTTCTCTTAGGAGCTTTGGTTTCACTGTGAGTAGTGAAATACCACTTGCTTTATATTAGTTACCCATTTTAAAATGCTTATTATTCTATTCAGCTAGTATTGTCATAGAAGCTTCCTAATCTTGCATTTAAACTCTTTAGAAATAGAAGGTTTTACAGGTAAAAATATTTCTTATTGGTCTTAATTCCTGTCAAATGTTCATTTTCTGTCCTGCCAGATGTCTGTAATTCAAACCTGGATGATATACAGTCCCATTTATATAGAGCCATTGTAAATACAGATTCCTGGGATGCAGAACTAAACTTCCTAATCCCTCCTTGAGGCTTCTGACAGAACAAGATGCTCAGTGAACCCAGCATAATACAGAATGACAGAATTATGCTTCCTTTTCACCCTGCATTCATGTGGCTCTGGGCAAGCTCAGCATCTACCCACACTTCCCTTCCTTAGGGACCAGTCTTCTCTGGCATGGCACATCCCACAAGTATTGCTCCTTCCTCCAGCAGCAGCAAGGAACAAAGTTAAATTTAACCTCCCTTGCTGGAAGTCTTTATAATAGGCAGAATTTTGTATTTTTCTGTCTTGTTTCATGCAAATCTACGCAAATTCTCTGTTTCAAGACATTTTCTCTCCAGTATTTTTTTTTTGTGTTATTTTGCCAATGAACTGTCAAATAAATGATGAGGCTTTGGCTTACCATTGCTGTCAGATCACCCCAGCAGAAGGGAATTGTCACTGAGGTGGTGTGTGACCAGGCATGCCACAGCAAGATAAGCACCTCAAAAGGAACTCAAGCACATCCTAGGAGCTGAGGACAGATATGGCCAAAAATCAGTCAAAGTCAGAATCCCAAAAGGAAACTAAACTCAAAGATTGTAAAGGTACCACAACTACAATAAATGAAAAAAAGAAAAAAAAAAAAAAAAAAAAAGGAAGAAAAAAACTGTAAAAACAAGAAAATAAAGGTAACACAGCTAACCACTCAAGATTAAATTAATACATACCTGATTTTCAGTAAGGATGAATATGATAATCCATGAGGTAAAGACAGGATGTCTAAGAGAAGGAGAAAACACAAATGGGTAAAAGATAATAAATGAACACAACTCACAGATGGTGATCAAAACTCACTGAGTCTGCTGTTTTCCAGTTGGAGGAACCAAGCATTCTTAATTCCAGAATCCTGATGTGCACAAATCCAAGAGATTTTAAGTAAATTTGCCTACTTGAAGGCATTACCACAGGACAGAGAGCAGCAAGTTCTAAGAAGTAAGTCATGGTGGAAGCAATTTGGACCTGTGGTTTTGATGTCTGTGCAGCTCTTCAGAAAAACTTGCACAGGAGAATCTAACTAAAAACATCTTAGTCAGTGAATAATACGGGGATAAAAGGTAACATGGATTTACTAAAATCCAGTTTTGTAGGATGACCCACAAAATAGTATAGTATAAAATTGAAACTTCAGGCATTCAGGAAATAAACTTCTAAAAAATTGGTTTTGCCTTTTGTTGAGAGTCCGAGCAAAAAATAAGTGAATGGGAGAAGGATTTGGCTTTACTAACCAACCGCAGGTGACAGGAAATTGACAGCGTGGTGTGACTGAAACAGACCAGTGTGAGTCCAGTCATGGAATTTCCACTAACTTCGGGAAAACTTTAGTGTTGTGTTTGAGGCATCGCCGTCTGACACTCCATGCCGCAGCCCCTTTCAGGAGAAAAAGCATTTAAAAAGCATTTAAATCGAGAAAGTGCCGCAGAACATACATCCCAATGAGCAGGGAAGTGCTTGTAGGATCATGCAGGGCTCCAAAGGTTTGGCCTATGTAATCTAACACAACAAATGAGTGGGAATTGGATACGTAAATACGTGGAAAGGGGAAGTAAACAAAAACCCAGAAACATCTATTGATTCAGATGGAAAGTAGAAGCTGGAAATTAGACAAGAGGCCCCGTCCGGAACTACCGCCACAAACCCCTGAGGAGGAGCACAGGGCTGGCCGGCACTGCCCGGCCGGGAAATAAAGGCAGGAATGCCCTGAATTCCCCACAAACTGCAGAGCCGGAGAGTTTGCTTTCTCTCATCCCGGCTAACACCAGAGAGAGTGAAATGTCCCGGGACGACATCCCTCAGACGAGCCCTGAGGGCAACATCACTGAGCTCCTCGGCCCCGCCCCGGCTCGCCTCCCCCTCTGCTCCGCTCCATCTCCTTCCCGCTGCTCCTTCCCCCTCCCGCCGCTCCTCTCTCCACCCCGACGTGTCGGCGGGCACGTCCCCACCGCCGCAGCCCGCCCGCCTCACGTCAGCCGCCCGGGAAGTATTTAAGGCGGCGGCCGCCGCTTCCCCCGCCCCGCCGCCACAGCCGCGCTCGGGTGAGGAAGTTCGGTAGGTGCGATCGCCGTGCCGGGCGGGGATGGCTGCGGGAGCCGGGTTGCGGGAACAGGGGCAGTGCGAGAAGGGGGAGTGCAGGCGGTGCTGGTCCCGCGAACCTCCGGGGGGACGAGGTGGAGCAGGCGGCGACAAATGGACAAAGTCCGCTGAAAGCCGCCTGCTCCACCGAGTGCCCCCGGCCGTGATGGAGTCGGGCACAGCCCTGGGCTCGAGTCCAGCCGGCCTGATTTCCACTCACAAACATCCTTCCCTTCCTCCATGCCCTTGAGCCTCCGTGTATTAACTTGCCTCCCGTGAGCGATGCGTGTGGCCCCAGGGAGTGATCCTGCAAAGAGACTTGAGGATGGGCTTAGGGCTGCGTTTCAATAACAGCATTAGTGGACCGCCTACCACTCCCCTGACTTGTTTCTTTGAGGGGTATGGCACTCTTAAAAGGAAATATTTTTTAAAGTGTGACGTGCTTGAGTGGATGGCTCTGATCAGCCTTAAAGCGCTTATAGTGCAAAGGGAGGACTTGGCACGTGGAGACTGCGCTGCATGGCCACGCTTCAGGAGGCTTCTGCACAGGAAGACTGACGTAGCTTGGTTGATTTTTCCTAAATATGGGCACTGCTGGCTTCCTGGCCCTCCCTTCAGCCGCAAAATTTGCAGTTCTTACCTGCTGCTCTGAGTGGCTTCTCATGCTCTGAGCGAGTCGCTGCCTGTTCAGCACTAGAGAGACGTGTGGTGTCTGTACTTGCGTCCGTCTGTGCAGCTGCTCCTGCCCTGGGCTCTTCAGGCTGCTCCCAGTGCAGCACCATTGCCTGGGAAAGCGTGGTGGTGGCTTCCACGAGGAGACTGGGATGAATGCACAGTCCTTTGTCATCTTTGTACCATTTCGTCACCCCCTTGTCTGTCAGAACCCAACTAACCAGGGTGCTGTGCAGCTGCAGCTAAAATGTGAGCATGGGAGAGATGGTAGCTCCAGACTCCAGCCATCTTAATTCAAAACTCTGCAGTTCCACTTCAAAACAAATTTATGAAGTTGACGTGGAGGCTCATGCTGTGCTAAAAAAGGGCTTCCTAAGTGTTGCACAACTTCAGCTCTGGAAAGGCTTCAGGGCACAGAATACCAGTTTTTCAGGGTGAGAGAACAGAGATTGCCAGACTGTGCTGTACTTAGAAGTACTAAAATGGCTTCCTGTACCTAAATGTAACATTTAGAACATTCTACTGCTGCTGCTGGAGTGCCACCAGCCATTAATATAATCAATGGCTCTCAGGCTGCATTTGAGGCAAAGCTAGGGTGAGCTTGAACAGAGGACTGTCATGAGTAATTCAGTTTTGCAGTCATTTTGTGGCACACAGACAGTATTGCCAGACATTTTATTAATGTGTTTTGGATCCATTTTCTTATCATCTTGGAATAAAGTCTGTCTTACTGGATACAAATATTATGGCACCAGTAAAAGCTCCAAAGCTTGGAGAAATGATCTGTTTCTTTACTTTCAGCAGTGCACCATGTCTCTCAAGGATCAGCTCATCCACACTCTCCACAAACAGGAGGGCCATGCCGAAAATAAGATCAGCGTGGTTGGCGTGGGTGCAGTGGGAATGGCCTGTGCCATCAGCATCCTCATGAAGGTAAGTGTCAGGCTTGGGAGGAAGCAGCAGAAGACCCTGAGACCTAAAGGAGGGGCAAAAAATAGTCACCCTTTTTAGATGAACTTCTGGTTATACAATCCTTTTTTGGGCCTGAAATGAAGCAACAGTTTTCAAGCTATTGACAGAGAACAAATAACTACAGTTCTTGTAGATGAAGTTTGCCTCGGGATGAGACAGAATGTCCTTTATGTACCATTTTAAGAGCTGCATTTACCTTTGTTGGACTTGCAGACTCCCTTCTAAGTAGGAATTCTCTTAACACTCTAAATATACAAAAAGATTGAGAACTGAGGATTTGTTTTGTCTTGAGCAGACAAATGGAAAAATTCTTTGCAGTGTGTTCCTGGAAAATTGGTCCTTGACACTCTGAATGACTCGTCTTCTGCCTTCAGTTATACTGAAAATGCTGTGGTTAACATTAGGCTTGCCTTTCTTGGCTGTCAAATAGGTTGCATATGAATCACTATTAAATTATTGTTCGTTATTGTCCTGCTTAGTTGTACTACTATTTCATGCATAATATGGTTATGAAAAGTATAAAATGAACTCGAGGAAGTGGATATCACAGGGAACTAATTGAAGGACTCTGGGAAGAAGTGAAGTGTTAGAGATGAGCAGAAATGTTTAAATAGTTTTTCAAATAATTGTAACTTCACGGTTTGAAAACTGGGGGCTTTGCTGAAAGAGGCAGTAAACTCACCATTGCTCTTGGCCTCTTGTAGGACTTGGCTGATGAACTTGCCCTTGTTGATGTCGTCGAGGACAAGCTCAGAGGAGAGATGCTGGATCTCCAGCATGGCAGCCTCTTCCTTAAAACTCCAAAGATTGTCTCTGGCAAAGGCAAGTAGCTGGCTCTCACGTGCTCATTGTTTCTAAATGGAGGTAGCCACTTCAGGTCTCACACTGGACAGCCAAGTCTAGCACTTAGCCTGTCGCTCTAATTGTTGGGAGGAAAGCTCATGGATATAGTATTCAGCTGACATCTTAAAATATACCTAGTCCATTTAAAATATACCAGTCCAGCTAGGAATTTTCTTCCAGGGTTCACTACTCAGTAGAGAAAGATAGATAATTCTTAAGTACTTGTGCACCTTAGAGAACTTTATTTCACAACCAGTTAACCCCTGAACTCATTACTGCTTAATTCTGATAACTTTTAGTGGCAGCCTTGAGTAGGGCAAAGGCTTAACCAGCTCATACCTTAATTACAGTTACTACAGGTAGGTTATGAGGGCAGAGTCTTCTTCCTCTTGTACACAGCACTTACCCTGAATGCCATCCCAGCAGCAATCCCCAGTCCCATTGGTGGCTGAGAAGCAAGGAGCATCACTGCCTGCAGCTGTGTGTTACAATATCAACATGCCTCAATGTTGTTAAAAGGTTGTGGCAGGAGCCACTGTCTTACAGTGAAATTTTCTATAGAGGCAAATTCTAGGGTAACAATTACCAGGGAACTGCTACACCCTCAAGCTTGATAATTTGAGATCCCAGTACAGAAAGGAAGTGAGAACTCCAGTTCTGAACCATGTGTTGGAAGAGGTCATGTTTGACACAGCCTTTTGTCTGCAGATTACAGCGTGACTGCACACTCCAAGCTGGTCATTGTCACTGCTGGTGCCCGGCAGCAGGAAGGAGAGAGCCGCCTTAACTTGGTCCAGCGCAACGTGAATATCTTCAAATTCATCATTCCCAACGTCGTTAAATACAGTCCTGACTGCAAGCTGCTTATTGTCTCAAACCCAGGTTTGTCTTGTGTTGCCATAAGAGGATTTGGCTTAGAGAAGAGTGTTTGGCATTAGTGCCCAGGCTTTTAGAAAATATTTGTGCTGGGGAAGAAAAGGCTCCAGGGAGACCTTGGAGAACCTTCTAGTACCTAAAAGAGAGGTGGACTTTTTACAAGGGCATGTAGTGACAGGACATGGGGTAACTGCTTTAGCTGGAAGAGGTAGATGTAGGTTAGCTGTAAGGAAGAAATTCTTTATTGTGAATGTGATGAGACACTGGAGCAGGTGGCCCAGGGAGGTTCTGGATGCCCCATTCCTTGAAATGGTCACAGCCAGGCTGGATGGAGCTTTGAGCAACCTGGTCTAGTGGAAGGTGTCCCTGCGCATGGCAGAGGGTTGGAGTGAAATAATCTTTAAGGTTCCTTTCAGCCCAAACCTACTATGGTATCTGTATAGGAAAAAATGTCATCTTCCCTCTCTAGGCTCAGCAGTTTGGTCTTCTGACAAATAAACTTGAGTTTTCAGACTGAGTGATCTTGAGCACACTAGGATCACTGATAATTGCATGCATAGCATAAAGGCAGAGCTGAGAGACTGTTCAAAACAGTCATTATGTTATATTAAACAGTCCTTATGTTAGCCCACTGCAGTGCCTGGCCGTGGGCACTGCTTTGTGCTCTGTCCCATGCAACCAGTGTGCAGGCAAAATGCTTACAGATGAACATAAGGTACCATCCTCATTATCAGTCTGCTCATGAGTGGCACTTGTTCTGCCCCTGTTCTCCTCACAGTGGATATTTTGACCTATGTGGCCTGGAAGATCAGTGGCTTCCCCAAAAACCGTGTTATTGGTAGTGGCTGCAATCTGGACTCTGCCCGTTTCCGCCACCTCATGGGAGAAAGGCTGGGCATCCACCCCCTGAGCTGCCACGGATGGATCGTTGGAGAGCACGGAGATTCCAGTGGTAAGGGTGAAATTGGGCTGCCTTTTACACAGCTCTCCCTGATGCTTTGTCTGCCTGGAACACCTTGAAAAGCTACAGCAAAGCATTGCTGCGAAACCTTTGCAGTGCAGCACCTTAAGAATGCAAGTTCTGATTTTAATCTTTTGCTGCACAGAGTAACCCTAGATGATCTATATTTGACCTGAATGACTGTGCTTGGAAAAGGTCACTACTGTAACCTGAGCTGGCTAAACATTTTTAGGCTAGATTGTTCACGTAACTCCCAAAAAAACCCAAACTGAAGCAGCAGGAGGATAAAGTTCTCTGCAAGGGCCTCTCAAAGATCTGCACCAGACCTACTGGCAGTCACTCAGCTGCCATTTCTGGCATCTCTTAATCACTGTATATAGGAATTGCAGAGGTAAGTCTGGAGGACAGGAG